AGGAGTAGTATATTCTTTAAGGACATCCTGACCAAAAATCGTAATGTTTTTAAAGGATCTTCTGAGTATACATCTTGGATTTTTAAGGACTCTTTGTAAAAAAGTCCAGGTTATTTTCAGGGAAAATTTTGAATGGATTTTTAAGGAACGTTCTGACTAAAACCGAGTTTTTCAGGATCTCCGCTTGTAAATTCAAGTATTTTTTTGTTTTTTAAGGTCATCTGACATTAACTGAATATATAGATTTTTTAAAATAATTTGTCAAGGACTTCTCCGTAAAAATCGAGGATTTTTTAAGAATATTCTCTGAATGGCTAGGTTTTGCACAGGCTGCTTTGAAACTTGTTCCGCAATTTTAATTTCTATTAAATTTATTTTTCTAAGGATTTTCTGACTATGCATCGTGGTTTTTAAGGACTTTCCAAACAAAGTCTTGATAATTTTTAGGGGAAAATGTGGATTTAAAGGAATACTCTCGACTTAAAACAAGTTTTTCAGCATCTCCTCTTGTGAATTCAAGTATTTTGTTGATTTTTTAAGGTCATCATCCTACATTAACTGATCTTAGAGATTTTTTTAAATACTTTGTCAAGGACTTCTCAGAAAAAATCGAGGATTTTTTTAGGGATATTCACTAAGGGTCTTATTGTGGATTTGCTTCAAAATTTTCTACATAACATTGTGGATTTTCAAAGATGTCCTGAAAAAATGGGGATTTATTTAAGCGATTTCCTGAGCGAAAGTTGTAATTTTTTTTCAAGAATCTACTGACTTCTTCAATCAATCTGCGTATTTTAGCATTTAAATCGGGGATTTTTAATGATATCTGAACTTCCAGGCTTATCTGATTGAAATCTTTAATGAGTGTTTGTTTCGAGGATTCTTTAAGGGTTCCTGTTTCATTATTTTTAGGAATGTCCAAGTATGAATTAGGAACATTTAAAATAAATTTTTTACATTTTAAATAAATTTATATTTTTTAATTTTTTATATTTGGCCTGTATGTAAAAATCGAATGTACCACAGCCTTCACTAATTTGCGCTATTTACTATCAACATGTCGAGATTTAGTTCCTTAAAATACTTATTTTGCACATCTAAGCTATCTCTCCGGTATACTTTTCAACGCCTTAATTCTTTTCCACACACACATACACGCAGCCGTTGAAAAGCAACAATCCTTTTCTACTTACCATAATCCGCATTAGTGTATTGCTTACAGTTTGTGGCTACTTTCGACCTCTAATGCTACTTAAAATTTCATTGAACTTTGTTGCTGTTGCTGTTTGTCTCGTTTAATTGTTTTAATGCTTTTGCATGCCTTCCTTTAGCTGTAAACTAAGGTTTTTCTCTGGCTTTCCCTTTAAATCTGTTTCTCGTCGTCATTCTTGCCAAGTAGAGTGTTTTCGAAAATACAGTTCACAGTATACAGTGGAACTTCAAACAAACTGGACATCTAAAAATGAACAATTCTATCAGTTTCTTATAACATTTATTCACTATTTGAAGGTTCCACTTTGGTATCTAACGCCTGTTTGAATGGTTGACCAACCATCGCAACAAACTAACAACCAGCCGCTCTATTTTAATTTCATGCTTAAGTAAACAAAATAGTAATAAAACTAAGTGTATAATAAAATTTCATCCAAAAACAACAAAAAAAAAACTAAAACAAAAACAAAAAACAGGTAGTTATAAAATGCAGAATGCCCCTTCACATACGTACGTACGTACACCCATACTTATAGCTATGAGTTGGTATGTGAGTGATAAGTAAATATCTTTCTAAGTGCTATATGCAAAGTGTTGGATGTTCATAATGAGGGTTCTGCTGAAAAAGTCCTAATAAATATTAAGAACTTTAATAAATGACTGAGCACAGAGGTTAATACACACTGCAACTTTCAAAGAACCGCCTAAATAATTTGTGTGATATACAGGACGAGATGAACAAACTGCAACCAACTTCAGACTGCTGTCATTCCTAAGCCACTCGTTCGACAGCTGTTAAAATTATAGTAGTGTAGCCTGACATCAAGGAAGTGGACAGAAGAAAACAGCAACATCAGTAAAAATGGTTCGAAAAGGAAGGAAGCTACTTGATCGGAACTCCCGTCACAGTGGCCGAAAAATGGCTTGTGAGCTGAATATATCGCAATATTCCATTCGGCAAATATTGAAAAATGAACTCGGGGTAAAGCCATTGAAATTCCAAAATGTGCAAAAACTTACACCGCAACAGAAAGGAAATAGACTCAAAAAAAAAACTAAAGAGTTGCTTCGCTTGGCGGAAAGTGGTGAACTGCCGAATTTGGTTTTCTCCGATGAGAACACATTCGTTTTCAGTTTGTAAAGAAACAAAATGATCGTGTTTACTTGCCAAAGAGGTCAGCTAAAAACGGGCACCTTCGGTTGGCCACCAGAACTAAAGCGCCGGCGATCGTGATGGTGTGGGCCGCCATACCAACCGATGTTCACTCTCCGCTCGTATTTATCTATCGTGGCATCAGAATAAATGCCGAATATTATCACGAAAATATTCTGGAGAGTGTATTAAAGCCATGGGCACGCAAACATTTTGACCGCAGATCTTGGACATTTCAACAGAATTCAGTACCATAGCACTCAGCACTCCTCACCCAAGAATGGTTACAAAATGAGGTTCCTCGCTTCGTTTTCCAGCGCACAATGGCCACCAAAATCTCCGGATACCAATCCGTTTGACTATTGTGTCTGGAGTATTTTGGAAAGCAAGGTTTGCACTAAAAAATACCAAGGTGTCGATCACCTCAAGCAAGCGCTTCGCCGGGAATGGGTCAAAATACCGCAGAGCAACACTCGGGCAGCGTGTGACGGTTTCATTGGCTGTTTAAAGGCCATAACTCGTGCCAAAGTTGACCAATTCGAACAAATCTAAACTTATTCTAAAATTTGATGCTCTTTCCGACTTTTTTGCTTTAATTCAATAAAATTTTTAAAAATATTTTGTTCATCCAGATATTTGGTATTTTGATGATTTGTGTCAAACTTTTCACCGCAAATATTTTAAATTTGGAATTTTAAGTTCTCAACGGGTACTACATCCAATGACAGAATTGTATCAAATTTCGTATTTGAAGTTCCTAATGGTTACTGCCGCCTGTGGCCGAAATTTGCCTATTGCCTAGGTCCACATTCTCATATAGGCCCCATATATCGTTTCAGACCTATATTTGTTATTTAGATGATTTTAGGTTTTCATCCACTGGAATTATTTCAATTTTTGTTAAGGTTCAAATCGATACTATGCCCATGGCAGAAAATTACTTATGCTGGTCCACATCTTTGTATAGCTCCTTAATAAGGTTTTGTTTTATTTTAGTTTTTATACCCTACACCACATAGTAAGGGTATTATGTCTTTGTGCATTTGTTTGTAACATGGAGAAGGAATCGAAATAGACCCATATGTACTTTTGAGGATCTCCATAGAATTACTTTCTGAGTTGATTTATGCATGTCAGTCCGTCTGTCCGTCCGTCCGTCTGTCCATGTATTCTTGTGAACAAAATGCAGGTCGCATTTATTATTCGATTGAGATGAAATTTTTCACAAATCATTTGTTTGGCCCAAAGACAAACCCTATGGAAATTGGAAATAATCGGTAAAAATTTAGATATAGCTCCCATATATATCTTCGTCCGATTTGCTTTTTATTGTGCACCAAACGTGTAATATCAGCCCGAATAGTATGGAATTTTGCACATACAACCAAATTAGGCCTGAAAATAAGTATGCCAAATTTGATCAAAATCGGTTCAGATATAGATATAGCTCCCATATATATTGTTCATCCGATTTATCATTTTTGTCCTCCGCAGCCGTAATATGCACTCTGTAACAACAATATTTGGGGAAATATATCAAATGCATCTCAGAAATACCTTTGCTAAATTTTATCGAGATCGGGTCAGATTTGGATATAGCTCTTATATATAACTTCGTCCGATTTACCTTTTAATGTACACCAAACGTCTAATATTTGCCCAAATGGGATGAAATTTGGTACATGCGACCGACTTGAGTCTAGAAGATAATACGCCAGATTTGGTGAAAATCGGTTCAGATATAGCTCCCATGTATATTTTTCATTCGATTTGTTGTATTTGTTACCCACAGCCGTAATATGCACTCCGTAACAACGATATTCAAGGAAATATATCAAATACAGCTCAGAAATATATATTTGCCAAATTTTATCGAGAACGGCTCAGATTTGGATATAGCTCCCATATATATCTTTATCTGATTTCAAATTAAATTTACACCAAATGGGTAATACAAGTCCGAATTTAAAAGATACAAATGCTTCGGCATATTAAGTCCTTTGAACTTTAAATTACAATTATAATCATAGCTTGTATGATTAAATTATCCCATAAAATCTTTTAATTGTTATGTGGAGCTCTACTAAATCAGCAAAGTGGTGTAGGCTATCATAAAGTCGGCCCCGCCCGACTTTAGGACTTTCTTTACTGTTTTTTTTTTTAATTAAGTTCCTTCCAAATGGTGGAGGGTATTAAAAGTTCGGTCTGGTCGAACCTAGCTGCTTTTTTCTGGTTCTATTTTATAACATAGCTTATCACTTTCGGTAATAATAAAAATTAATGGAAATTGCGGACCTTTGGTAAAGAATTTTTAGAAATAAAGTTGAAACGGCGATGCCTACAAAATTAAGTCTCTGTGGGAATCCGGAATTTGTGCTAATTCAAATGTCTATTTTGAATGCAGTACTCTACCGACCTTGGCTAATATAACTTCTTTTCATTAATTGAAGTTTAATATTCAACTGTATTTTGCTAAAAAGAATTCTACGTCTTTCAACTATTCAAATAGTACTCTTCCTTTATTAAGTATTCTCAAATTTCAAAACAATATTAAATATTCTCCTATTTTTTTTTTTTTTTTCATAGAATAATAATAACATGATTTTTTGTTCTTCTGTTTTCCGCTTCTTTGCAGATTTGTGTTATTTCACTAAACTAACCAACCAACCAACCAGTCTGCTGCCGCACAACATACAATGGAATTCTGATGTAAGTTAATATGATGATGAGAAGACCCCTTTTTCGCATTATGTTATTTTGACAATTACCACCTCTGTTAGCTCTGTTGCTAAAACTTGTTTTCTTTGTTTTTTTTTTTTTTTTCAAAACCGCCCTCTAAAGAAACAAAACTGAAATCCATGGGTCGGATGGCCGGTCGTTTGTTTGTTGGGTTTTGTTGGCTATAGATAGAATTCTTTGTTTTCGAGCCGGACAGCCAGCCATCCAACCAAACCGTCCAGTTAGCTAGCTCCGTCCGGCGCATATGTTTTTCGTTGATTGTTGTTTTGTTTTCTGTAATCAGTTTTTACTTACTGACACAACCGGACACTCTGACACATTATTTCAAATGTGCAACCAAGCGCGAATAATTCGCAACATGCAACCAAGATTCAAAATAAACAGACCGTCCAGAGAATAGTCGCTGGCAGAAGCCGCAACAGCAAAGTTGCAGTGATTGTTGCACAAACAATATTATTCTGAGTTTTGTTATTGTTTTTTTTTTTTTGAGTGTTGTTGGCAAAATAAATATGAGAAGAGGGCGAGATTCGAGTCAATAAAGAAGCGAAAATAAAAAAAAAAACAAATTTAAAATAACAACAAAACGCCAACTGCTAATGGAAGTTTTGATTAAATCAACATTTACCACATGTGTTTAGCAAAGTCCATGGGTTTTAGTGTTAAGTCAAGGGGGCGGAGGGATTGTAATTAAGATAGGGAGAGGCTTCAATATTTATTTTGATTAAGAAATTGGATTGTTATACACTCAGCCTTATGACTAGAGAGTTCAGCAAAAAATCTCATCAAATAATGGATTTATTAAGCATATTGAGGCACCAGCAACTACTACTACTACTACAAATCAGGGGCTGAACCCCTTATTTTAACATGAATATGTAATAGGAGGAGAGTACTTATCAAACGGCTTTCAAGAGCCAATAATTAAAAGAAACCCCAGCCGTTATGTTTTTTTGGAATTGTAGAGTTGAATTTTGTATTGAAATTCACCACCTTGTTATTATATTTGCCTGATGGAGACATTGAAGTGGAGAGATCTTCTGATGGGTAGTTGAATACACAGTGCCCTCTGCCACTGATACCTACTGTGAGCCCCCCGAAATGGAGTTACTCAAATCTCTCAGAATTTTTACAACATCTTTTTAACAACACAAACTATTGATTGACATTTCATTATCATACCCTCAGCCATATGGCTGGCTACAGAGGATATACATTATTAGATATGGCCAAAACGTGGCTCATCGAAATAAAGATTTTGCACCCCAGGTCCCTTTGGACCAAATCCGTTTCAGGGTATTTGGAGTAGATCTAGCGATGTCCATTCGTCCGTTTGTCTGAGGAGTATCCAAGGGAGTATCCAATTTCGACTAAACTTGGCACATCGTAATATTATTATCAAACTTAGATCGAGTTCGGTGATGGGCAATATCGGTGCACTTCTTTTGGTTCCTCCTCCACAAAAGTCGAAATTTTCAGAAAAAAATACAAAAAAAATTAAAATTAATTAAAGATGCACAGAAAAAGAACGGATAATCGGATTTTGCTCCAACTTTGCAAATTATAACATTTGCATCAGTGCTAGGTCATGTGTGAAAATATCGGCCCGCTCCATCAAAGGGTCAATATTTGGAATGATTATAACACTTATAAAATTTGAGGTAAGAGTCCGGTTGTCTTCAAATTACACACATCACTATATCCGTTCAGACTTGGATCGTCTCAGTATTGCCATCAACACAAGATCTGGTATAAATATGGTAGAGCTCGGACCATTTCTTCTGGCACCTCCCCCACAAAAGGGTCAATGTTTTGAATAACCAAAACGATTATAAAATCGGAAAGAAGGACGTTTTATAATTCACACATTCCATTATTTCTACTAACACGAGATCTGCGGTGAAGATGGAATATATCGGTCCACTACCCCTGGTACCTCCCCCACAAAGGTTCAAATTTTAGAACAACTGTGAAGCTCATAAAAGTTGTTGAATATTCATGATGCTCATAAAACACTCCATTCATATTTGGTACATCTCAATATTTCCACCAACTCAAGATCTGTTATAAGGATGGTAAGCATCGGTCCATTCCTTTTGGTACCTCCCCCACAAAGGGTCAAAGTTTTGAATAACCAAAACGATTATAATAACCACAACGACTATTACCTATGGTTTGGTGTAAAGATGGGATATATCGGTCCACTTCTTCTGGTACTTCCCCCACAAAGAATAGAAATTTTGAATGGAGCTCTTAAAATTCGAAATTAAAAGCCAATTCCATTCAGACTTGGTACATCTCAATATTTCTACCAACTCAAGATCTGTTATAAATATGGCAGAGATCGGACCATTCCTTCTGGTACCTCCCCCACAAAGGGTCAAAGATTTGAAACCCAAAACGATTAAAATTCCGGAGCATCCGGCTCTCTTCATATTTCACACATCACAATATTTTTAATTACCCAAGGTCCGGTCTAAAGTTGAGATATATCGGACCAGTCCTTTTGGTACCTCCTCCACAAAGTGTCAAATTTTTGAATATCCATGAAGCTCATAAAACGCGAAATTAACATCCAATTCCATTCAGACTTGATACATCTCAATATTTCCACGAACACAAGATCTTTTATTAAGATGGTAAAGATCGGACCGATCGGTCCGTTACGAAATGGACAATATTGGCCCATTCTTTCGAAACCCACTCCATAGAGGGTCAACAATTCAAATAATCATAACAGAAGTCAAAATATATTTAAATAATTCGAACATTGGCTGAGGCCATACATCTGTCGGCAAAATCGACTCATACTTTTTAATTTGTTTTTTCCTCCATTTTTTGTGAACGGAACTTATTAAAATTCATTCCTGTATTATTTGTGTTGTCTGCGAAATTGTCTTTTGCCTGCCCACATGTAACTATCTTTGCCTCCCATTAAACTCTATACTTAGCTTCAAGTTTATCATTAAGTTTGCATGTCTATCTGCCAGACTGACTAACTGACAATCATTCGTCTGCGTTGTCTATCATTTCATGCATTTCTTTTTTATTTTCGAGGCCCTTATCTAGTTTCTTTAACTACAACTTATCCCTGCTATTATTTTCGCTCACATACACTCTGACACACACATCCACCAAATTGTTACAACATCATTATTGAAGTAATTACAATTTCTCTTTGTCTTTCGCGTTCTGCGCAAATATTTAAAATGCAGACAGAAGCGAAAAATAAGAGAAGCAATGACTGGCTGGGTATTGTTCGCTCGCTGATATGCCAAATGAAGGCTTTTCCGTAAACCAAACTTTGCAAAATGAAGCCCTTATATGAGATCTACATATATTCATACATACGTGTATATTTTACGCGCGATACACAATCTCCCCAAAGCAAAACAGCAGTAATAGCAACAACAACAACAAAAAATCCCACTGAAGAAGAACAGAGGAAGCAGCAACCCAAATATATTTGTATTCATAACAATGCAGAACAATCAGACAGTTGAGGAAATTATGTATATGTGTATTGGGATGGAATGAAGATTTTTATACCCTCCAGCATTGTATGGAGGGTATATAAGGTTTGTTATTCCGTTTGTAACACCTCGAGATATACATTTTGGACCCCACAAAGTATGTATATTCTTGATCAGCATAAAATCCTATGTCGAATTAGAGACGTCCGTCCGTCTGTGGAAATCATTCTAGCTTCGAGCGAAATGAAGTGGGTTGATAAAATTTTACTCAAATGTATATTATGTCTTCAGGACTTTTGGTATTGAAAATGGGCCATGTAGATCCACGTTTTGGTATAGCCCCCTATAATGGCACCGCCCGATTTTCGGTATTTTGATGATTTAAGCGACATTATTCACCGGAATTGTCTCAAAATGGTATTTGAAGTTCGTAAAACAGAAAATTGTTTTTGCAGGTCCGTCACTTCGTATAGCCCCCATATAAGGGTACCTCCCGATATTCGGTACCTTTATAATTTTAGCGACATTAGTCAGCCGAATTGTTTCAAATTTGGTATTTAAAGTTCGTAATGGATACTAATGCCTAAGGCAGAAAATTGTCTGTGTCACGTCTTCGTATAGCCCCCATATAACGGTACGTACCGATATTCGGTATTTTGATGATTTAAGCGACATTATTCACCGATTTTTTGTTCAATTTTCGTATTGGAGTATTGTAGTGGCTTATGACAATAGTTGCCTATGCAGGTCAACGTCGTCGTATAGACCCTAATATAACGGCTACATTCGGTATTTTTAAGATTTTAACAGCATTTTTAGCGGATTTTATTTTATTTATTTATTTATTTTTTTGCAAATTGTGGATAAAAATCTGTCAGAAAGGTTGGATATTGGACAAACATTTTTGTAAATCTGATTTTTTTAAAATTCTCAGGTCAAAAATATTCTCGAATGAAAGTTTGAACGAAACCTCAAATCTCAAACCATATTCAGCAAAACTTTCCAACATGCCATATTTCGAGAGTCCTAGGATTTCCTTCAGGGCTTCGATGCGGCCCAACCTCTTATCTCCTACAATTTTTATCATATTGACAACATTTTCAACACACCACCCCAATACACCGTTGAGCTCGACATGATATTCTCGCTCCAAAATTAGCATAGTCTGAACATTAATGAAATGTTACAAACTTCACGGGGAGCATAGTAATATTCACATTTTCGCTAATGTGTTTTAGCTCTACACTCTTCCATACCAACATAAATATATGTGCCGAGAGTTGGAGAGACATACTGACGTGCCAACTCTAGGCGAAAAAAATTGTTTACTTTCTACACAAAAATTAAAATGAAAATAAAGGTTCAGTTATAACATAAAATAGTAATTATTTCAACGATAATGCGGAGTGGTAGCAGTAACATTGTTGATTTTAGGGGGGCCTTAGAGACAAATCTAGAAGGAAAATTAATTTAGAAAAACAAGTAAAATAGTATCAGTCG